TGTCTAGGTTGAACTTGTGAAGGTCCTTGTGGTCATTATTTTTGTTTTTGTTATGTTCAACATTAAGTCTGCCTTAGCACTTTCTTCTTTGATCTTTCTTAGTAGGCGTTCAAGGTCTGTGCGGTTTTCTTCTAGTATTGTGGTGTCATCTACATATCTGAGATTGTTGATATTCCTTCCTCCTAATTTCACTCTTCCTTCTTCTGTGTCCAAGCCTGCTTTTCTTATAATATGTTCTGCATACAAGTTGAACAGATAGGGTGAAAAGATGCAGCCTTGCTTGATCCCTTTGCCAATTGGGAACCATTCTGTTTCTCCATTTTCTGTCCTGATAGCAGCCTCTTGTCCTGAGTACAGATTTCTCACCAGGAATCAGGTATTAGGGGTATAAAAGGGGCAAGTTTTAAGACCAAGCAGTCTGAGGATGTTCCTGAGGTAAAAAGATAGCCTAGGAGCATAGGAAGAACACTGTGGTCACTGTGACTTTCTTTGTGAATAATATTGTTTTGTTTAACTGAAGCTAATATTATCCTTGGTTGTGCTAAGTTTTATTGGTTTTATTTTCTAAGATATACTTGTAGATATCTAGAAGGAAGAGAGACAAAAGGGAAGTGTAGTCCATTCAAAGGCTTTTCATGCATAATGCAAAATTATGGGATGGATTTTATATGGATGTTGTGGTTTTAATGTTTGTATTGTATATTGTTTTTAGCTGATGTTTTTAATTGTTTTATTGTGATATTGTTTTTTAGAATTTTATTTGTGAGCTGCTTTGGGTCCCTTCACAGAGGATGGGAGGATAGAAATTAAATGAATGAATGAATAAAATAAAGCATTACAACCAAGGATGAAGAGAAAACTCCAGAGAGGCCTGAATCATTTGTTTCTCTGGATATCTTTTGAGGAGTACATTACAGTGGGCCCTCCACATTCGCTGGGATTAGGGGCACAGGACCCTGGTGAAAATAGAAAAACTGCAAATAAGAAAACACTACTTTTTTAACCTGGGAGACCACCTCTCTAGGAATCTCTAGGTCCTCAGCACAACTCTACGGTCAACATCTTCCAAAATCAGACCATGGCATCATGCTGGAGGATCTAGAAAAGGCCTGGCAGAGAAGGACATCTGGGCCAGACCTTGAAGTGAGGTCTATCCCAACTCCTCCTTTAAAGCCACCTCCAAAACCTCCAACTTATTTTCAAGCAAAATAACTGAGGAAGTCAACAAACTCTTCTCTTGTGCCTCCTCCCTTCAGTCAAGGTGACCAACATTCTCCTTTTCCAGGACATGTCCTACATTCCAATCTTCTTTCCAGGAGGAATTCCAAAATGTCCTCCATCTTGAGCATGACCAACAAGCACGAATTTACATTTACTGTATATGAGTTCCTTTCTTACCCTTTATTTTGTCCCATCCCATTTTTTATTGAATGCGCTACACTTTGCAGTGCCTTGTCCTCCTTTGCAGTGAGGACATCTGGTCACCTTGCCTTCAGTGCATGCTTGGCCTGGGGCTGTATCTGCACTGCTGAATTAATCCAGTTTGACACCGTTTTGGGTCCCAGTTTTGAGAGAAAAGGTATTAATGTAACAAATAAATAATCAGCGCTGAGTACACTGACAGCGCTCTAGAAATAAACTTTAATAATAATAATAATAATAATCTGTCATGGCTCAATGCTAAGGCATCCTGGGACAACGTAGGGCCTTTGCAGACTGTCAGAAATAGTGCAGATTGAGTCCACTTT